GTATCAGTGATACGCTTTTGAACGAGCCAAACTGGACCAGGTGACCCACACTAGCCCAAACAGTGCATCGTTATTTAGACAAACTCCCACTTATTTCACTGAATGTCCGCCCATTGTGGGTCAAATAGTCTGGACGAATCATAATTTATCAACGCGATTAATGCTGGTAATTTTAACCGAGAGAATTTATAATTATCTCTGTTAGTCCAGAGATAACAGTTTCTCCTTATCAGCCTGCAAATCACAGGCGAGAGAAGCTCTACAGTCTACATAAACCTTAATAAGCAACACTCGCTAGTTTTATTAATTCACCATTTTCCTACTTCAATTATTACCCGAAATAATATTAAATCTAAATACATTTTATATAATTTTTATGTTATAGCGGGAAGAGTTTTTAGAGGTCCACGAGAGCGATGTTTAATTCCTGACGAGAAAACCAGTCCACAAAATAAGCTCAGAGGATTCAAGTATAATAAAAAACAATGAGCAAACTCAGAAAGAAATAAATTCACAACTAAATGTAAATTTTGAAATATCTTCACAATGGCCGAAAAAAATCAAATTGTAATCTGTAAATGATTCAATAAATATGTCGTTACAAAATAAGGAAACTCGCGTCTTACAATCTATTCAACTATAATTAAGCAGTACCTCGACAAGTACGTCAAAAACAAAATTTCAATATATCCTAAATCGAAAGAATTTGGTTTTATTTAAAACGTATTTTTTTCTTCGCATGCTGGAAAATTAGAAAGATTTAATTGTTCGCGAAATCGTTATTGCAAACAACCTCCATCTCATCCACACAAATCAGAAGCATCACACGGAAGTCTTGCCTCCTAGACAATAAAGGTGGCTTCAATTAAGCCTAAATTCCCAGAACTATCGACCAATGGAGCGATGCTGGCCATGTTCTGAGCGTAAACACGGCAACCGTCATGAAACTCGCCAATTTATGAAAGCCGCGACAAAAGAGATGGCGTCAGTGCTGTTCTTAGTCCATCGAGTATCAGTATAACAGGAAGCTTCAAACTGTGATAACTGTAACTCAAAAAGTTAGTACTTATATTATCAGTCTGCCCATATCGCAAGTTCACAAGGAAAATGAATAAAATCATATTATTTTATTCATTTTTAGTTTTTCGAACTGATGATGGAGCTGGACTCCGAAACGTTTTCAATATCGATATGGTGAATTTGCTTGGTGTTTTCTTTACTTTTAAATTCCTTCAAAAAGTTAGTATAGAGGATACCAATAAAATAACGTTCAAAATAGCATCTTGTATTTGTTGAGGCAAAACTGTGTAAATATACACCACGCGGCACGTTATCTCTTCCTTTTTAAACAAAGGAGTCGAGGAACGAACTAATTCTACGGTGCAGAGGCAGCGTACGCACACCAAGCTAACTTTGCAGCCCACAGTCGACAAGTGAACATCAGAAAGCGAAGCACAGACGCGATGACAGCTGAAGCGCGCTTTTTTGTTATATTCACTTCCATGATACTGAGATTTGTTGAAAATACAAATCATAAGTGAAACAGCTTACAACAAATATTAGACATTTTTAAAACATTATATCCACGGCTGGGATTATATCATTTTATTTATAAATTACCAATGTAAAACAACATATATTCTAGCGGATGATGAATCTCGCAAGGAATAACAGTATATATTACACTGTCTTCAACAGATCGAAATTTCAACAGGTAATCGCTTTTTATTTCTATTTATTTCGACAAACAAAGCTTCACTCACAATAGCTTGCTACACCGTTGCTATATATATGGTCCGCTCATATTACTTGGAATTCAGCAAGATCTTTATTCATTATTTATTATTCAGCATACAAAAAGTTGGAAATAAGACTGCATGCATTTATAGGTCTTCATATCCCACTGAAGATATAAAGAGAAGCCTGTCAGGTATCCGTCCTTAAATGTTCCCTCTATGGGTGAATTCAATGAAGAAAACGCTACATGAATTGATTGGTGGTGAATATTACAATATCCATCATGAAATATCCTTCCAATATACCAGTTATCGGAGTACATAAAATATGTACCTCCTCAAAAATGTATACATCCAGTCTCCGCGTCATCCCAAGATTGTCAGCGTCGCTTTGAATTGCAGGCATAAAAAATGTTTTTTTAGGTGGGAAGCCAACGCTAGCTTTAATTAATGAACGAATTGTTCAAAAGAACACAGATATTGAGCTTCACTCGAAGACAGGGGCTAGATATGATCAAAGGCTTCGTAACGTAATCAGTGACTATATGATGATTAAAATGAAGCGACAAGACAATACTCAGGCACGAAGTGAACTCTGGGACAATGAATATAATACGATTGGAGTGTATATCTTGCTTTAAATATGTCACATAATTTTTACATTATAACCTGACTGGAACCGTTACGTGTTCACAACCAAAGTGGACGATACAGTCGAAAAGCTCACGCAAACGATAATATATTTCTACGCATTACGAACGTTGACTAGAAAACATTGGACCTACGATGGTCCTCCAAAATAATATGCTAGTAGATTTGGGACTAGTTTCTTGAAGCTTATAAGTAGTAATATTTTTGTTCGTGAAAACATACAGTCGTCGACAACTTTACAGCGAACTAATCCACAAGAACACGTCTATTATTAAAAAGAAGATTGTCTTGCCATCACATCAGGTCAATATTTCAATATTGCGTTAAAACATATAAGATACAAGCAATCCCATTATACATGTGCCGTGCAACATATATTGCAGATCATTAGAATTGGCCTTTCCATAGGACGCAGCTCAAGGTTCAACTATAACGAAGTTCATTTTCGGTACAATACTTCAAATCAGAAAAAATAGTTATCTAAAAACAAATTCATTTTCAATGTAAGGACAAGAGGGCATTTTAATAAATTTTCATCAATCTCTTTCCTTCCACAACTTCTTGTTTATAATTATGATTTAATATTAAATTTAAACGGTTTGTTGAACACAAGAGGCCAAGAATCGGCCCAAACAGCAGGCGTATGCGATGACAATAAAAGCCATACTTATAATTATTAAATAATAATTAGTAACATCAATTACAAAGAAAAAAAATATATTATAAATAATAGAGACAGAGGCACAGTATTATGAAGCATGACTAAGCAGCTATAAACATTCCATTGACAGCTGTGACTACAGTTTCAGACATGCCACGTGCTGAGCGATAACGTCAGAACAGACGTTCTTCATGCCATGTGGTTCACATGACATTTGGTGCAGATGCCATGTGTTTCACATGGCATTTGGTGCAGATGCCATGTGGTTCACATGGCATTTGGTGCAGATGATATGTGGTTCACATGGCATTTGGTGCAGATGCCATGTGGTTCATATGGCATTTGGTGCATATGCCATGTGGTTCACATGGTTCACATGGCATTTGGTGCAGATGCCATGTGGTTCACATGGTATGCAGTTCATGTTGTCGTTGTTTTTTTTTTCTCTTTTCTTCGTTAATTTCGTGGGAGACATCGGCAATTAAGACAAATTATAAATAATTTGCCCTGGAACAATCACTTTATAAACGAGACTTTGAGCCATGATAGTTATAACTAAATCTAATGAAGTATTAACATCCCGGCCACGGCATTTATATAATATGCTAAAATTTTCTCTCAAGTATTTCATTTAAAAATTTTCAAACTCCGCGTGATCACCTAGCTTCAATATTCACCATTTCTTTTTCAGGAAGACCTATATAAATTTATGTAAATTTATTCGATATCCGATTTTTAGTCAGAAGCGTTTTTCCGGGTGTAGTACATGCAAATAATTTATTATGTAAAGCGTGGGAGAGAAAAATCTCAGGGAGGTGCAGGCGGACAATTGCGCGGCATTGGCTGCCGGAATAGAACGATGCGGAAGAATTCCCACAACATCCGTAAATTTTAACAAACTTTGAATGAAATTCATGCGGTAGTAACGAATTCATTGAATTCTCGCAGAATTCCTAGTGTGAATTCTGCTAACGTTATATTTACAGGTATGTTAATTGGCAAATTAATATCTTACCTCGAATTGTTATTGAAATTGAGCTGACGGCATCCAGAGCAATGCCAGTAATCCAAGACTAAATAGTGTGATGCATTTGACGGCCGAAATCCAAATTTGAATTTTTCGGCCATATTGAAAAAATAGTTACTTTAAATTTGTAACTTTGATGGCACATAAAATCACCACCATCATTGAATTGCTTCATTGAATCTTTTTTTAATATATCATTCAAGTGTTAACTAAATGATAACTGAATGCATCATTTACATTGATATTTTTTTCTATTGATTGAACTGTCGCTAGCGTATTAAAGTGGCAGACTGTTAACAACAGCACAGCAATTGGCTGACTGTTAACAACAGCACACCGACAAGGCTGACTGTTAACAACAGCACACCGACAAGGCAGACTGTTAACAACAGCACACCGACAAGGCTGACTGTTAACAACAGCACACCGACTTGGCAGACTGTTAACAACAGCACACCAACTTGGCAGACTGTTAACAACAGCACACCGACTTGGCAGACTGTTAACAACAGCACACCAACTTGGCTGACTGTTAATAACAGCACAGCAACTTGGCAGACTGTTAACAACAGCGCAGCAACTTGGCAGACTGTTAACAACAGCACACCGACTTGGCAGACTGTTAACAACAGCACAGCAACTTGGCAGACTGTTAACAACAGCACACCGACTTGGCAGACTGTTAACAACAGCGCAGCAACTTGGCTGACTGTTAATAACAGCACAGCAACTTGGCTGTTAGCAGCGTACCAACCTAGCAGGTTAACAGTTAACAGGTTACCGGCAAGCAGACGCGACTGCAGGATAAATGACCTCGTATATGCAGAACGAAGACCAGTTGTCTCAAGTTAACCTGCTTCGCACACATTATACATACTTTTTTAGTCAATGCACTAAATATATGTATATATATATTTTTTTTTCAAAAGGAATTTCTGGAAAACCAACAAGAAATTCTTAAATCCTCTTTAAATTCCGTAGTTTAAATTGAATATATGTTGGTCAGAATATTCTAATCATTCTTTTCTTATCAAAATATGAATATCAAAGTTATTCACATCAGCACATAATCTATAAGGCAGACATCTTAGTTTAGAGTTGGTGACTTTCTTCCAAGTTACTGGCGATAGAATACAATGGCCTCTACTGAAGAGAACTCGCTTTAAGTGCTATCATAGAACGTATTATTTATTCCTTGTAACATTAACTCCCCACCAGGGTGAGTTATAAATGTATTGTCCAGCGCATTTGATTGACCATCTAATTCAAAATTTTCTTTATACAACAACGACATTCGTTCAAAGTCAATGGCAGTATTTTGCTGATTCTTTCTAATTTTCTTGATAAGAGAAAGTTCTGGTAATGACAGAAGCAGGCAATCAAGGTCCGCTCTGTTATCCAACACATACCCGTTGACTTGGTTGGAATATTCTCTAAAAACATCGTCGGCATCAAAGCCGTCGACCACGTGGGTGCCGCAGTACTCGAAGAACTCTTCTCTTAAGGCTCTGAGTGAGGCGACCTCGTTGGCCATCTTCTCAGTCCCGTAGCGGAGGACGGTCTGCTCATGGCGGGCCAAGAAGTGGTCGTACAAGAGGACATCTCCGCTGTTGAGCTCCCTCATCCGCTCTATGGCACTCACCGACAAGTCAGGCTTCACGTTGTCCCTACGGGCGTTTTTAGAGAAGAAAATCATGTCTCTGTAGTCCCAGCATAGCAGCTCCTTCAGCAGAATGAGACTCTCGTCCATCTTCTCGGCTATGAGCACGAGATCGAACATCTCGTCGGCCTGGTCGATGGCTCTCCGGATTTCGATGGCTGTGATGTTGCTGTGCATTTCCATGCCCATGTCGAAGAGCATCATGTTGTGGCCGAAGCGCCCGCTTCGCTTCCGTAACTCCATTTGCATCTGACGGATAGAAAAAGTAACATCAAGCATACCACGGACCGTCGTAGTGATGGAAGAACATTTGTATTTCAAGACAGAAACAAGAATTGTGAAGTATTTCAGGCCAGAAACCAAGAGTTTAGAAGGAGTTACATCACTGTTCATAAAAATGGTATTTAATTGAAAAATGAATATTGAAACTAATTTGTTTCACATCATGAATCGAAATTTTTCAAGAAAGAAAAATTATAATCAAGTATAAAATACACACGAGCTATAATTTATCCTACTGGATAGATTGAAAACGAATAATATCTTTCGAATTCAGCAGTTATGAGACGGGGTTGCAGCTGAAAATTTCAGGTTTCTGAATTAAATTCCATACATTAAGACCCCCAAAACACAATAAAATACTTATTTCTTCTCTGATGAATTTGCATCATACTGAAATAGATGAAACATTGAGATCGATTCAGCGTTGATTTTACTTCTCAATTCGTCAAAAAGCACCTTAAATAAACATGCGTATATTTAGTAAATCATTTTCGCGTGTTTCACAATCGATTATAACACACGTTTTTTTTTTTAATTTTATCGCGCAAAACACAGTAAAAGCCGTTACGAAGAATCTGACTTATTGCGAGGCACTGCCACTAAAAGGTTTTTCTTCAAATACGAGAATTTGTTCGGAAAGAATAAGAGAGTGAACTCTTCTGCTAAAACTGTAATAAATTAAATAAAAGAATATGTGCGTCTGAGGTGAGAGTACAAGACACGAATAAAGCACTTTGGTACTTAACACAAGGGCGGTCAATCACACGCAGTCTTCATTCAAAGCATTGAGACGCGTGCAGCTCTTTAATAATATTAGGGAACTGTTGCTAGGAACTGTTGCTCTTCGAATATGAGCTACTATCTGCTAATGGTTTTATGCACGAGTGTATTGATCGATACACTTAAGATAGTAGCGGCTGGCAACTAACAACTTCAAGTAAGAACAATTACCTGTTTGAGAGCTTCATATGTGAGTGGAATGATCTGAACACTTAATACTCGTATACGAGCGGCTGGCAACTAACAACTTCAAATAAAAGTAAAAAACAACTAACGTCTCAAAGTATGAGTGAATTGATCGAAAGACAATTTTTGAACCACAAACTACTTCGATTCAAAACAACCATCTGCTAAGAGCTTCATATCTCGAGCACCACTTCTTAATGGATGAGACAGCCGCTGTTCTTGGTACAAATAACAGCTCATAAGAGTAGCTGCCATAACTAAGAGCCTTCACATGCAGCTAAGGGCTTGCGATACGAACAACAGCCTGCCAGAGACAGTAAGAGGAAGGCTCTTGGAAGCCCCGAGCGCCCCAAGAGCTATCGATTACCTCCAGAGGGAGGGTGAGGAACTCCTCCAAGGGCGCGTCCTCGTAGAACTTGCCAAGATGGAAGTAATTGTAGAGGCTCTCGAAGAGTAGCGAAGGATCACGTACGACCGTCAGAAATATCGTGTCAGGATGCAGGACCTTGCGATGCTCCGATGGGTTGAGGCGCGTGTGAACTGCGAATATGTCCACTACGCCCTCTGGCGGCAGCAGATTGCGCGCCACCATGCCGGCCTGTTGCCAACGCACCAAACTAAATTATTAACGTCAGGCAAATTTTGAAAAATTTTCAGCAAGAAAACTCTTAACTGAATCATCCACGCAAACCAAGACAATATCGATCTCTTCTTTAACCAAATGCTCTTTCAATATTACACTAAACTTGTGGTCAAACTCTTTAATAATTCGTTCATCTAATAGCAAGAAATCAAACACTAAGGAATCAAATTGAATGTAAATATATTCTCGACAGCAATAACGGTGTATATTTAAACTTACTTTGAAGAGAATAGGATTTCCCAAGTAGTTGCCAGCAGCAGGCAGAGCAAACGTGAGGTTGTGCAGTAGCCCGTACCGCAAAAACAAATTCTGGGGGCGGAGCGCGGCAACAAGATTAGCAGCGTCGCGAAAAGAAAAACTGAGGGAAGGAGGAATTAGGGGGAAGAAAATTTGATGAAAAAAAGAATAAGGGAAAAGAAAAATGGAAGGAAGGAAGAAGTAGGGGGAAGAAAAACTGAGATGAAAAAGAAGTAAGGGGAAGAAAATTTTAAGGAAAAAAGAATGAGGGAAAAGAAAAACACAGGGAAGGAAAAATTAGGGGGAGGAAGAAGAACCGAAGTAGAGAAAATCAAAGGAGCGTATAAACTGAGGGCAAGAAGTGATGGAGATTTCGAGTGGGGAGTTACAGCCGAAAATAACGAACCATTACTTGGAACTAAAAAAGCTAATTTTCAAGTACATAACCAATGGTATCTGTCAAGCCTGGAAGTTCACTAAAAAATTTATTTGCAGATTTAAGGTCGCGACAAAAATTTTATTTAGCCTCTAGACGTTATGTTATCGATACTAGATTTAATCAAAATTGTCACCTACTCAAGAATGCAGATGTCCTGTAAGCTTGATTTGTGTTGAAAGTTTGATATATGTTGGAAGTTTGATATATTGAAAGTTTGATGAATATTGGTGCCAAAGACGTGTTGGAAGTTTGATATGTTAAATACTATAGGAGGAACATATTAGTGATGCATGACAGCAAGCGTTGCAAATGTAGTGTTAAATTATCGGCTAGGTTAAAGTTGTCACCTGGACGGACGACGATGCGCACTTGTGCGTCTTGAGGAACATAATGTGGCGCGCGGGGCGACAGCTGCTCTGGGCGGCGGACGCGCCCGGCGTGGGCGGTTGGGCGCTTACAAAAATGGCGTCCAGAAGGGCGTCGTTGTCGGCACCCGCGTAGTCCTTGTAGCGCCCTCGCTCCCCCAGCACATGCCTGCACACCCGAGTGGGGGATACCGGTACTAGGTTTAAAGGGGGACTTTATACGGGAGGTGTAAGGATAGACTTTCCAAGAGGAGTCTATAGCTTTTTATATAGCGGTTTCAGCGTTTAGTAGGCCGTAGGCCTGTCGCCAATTCTGAACATCGCAGAACATTCACAGCTTGTTGCGGTCTCGAACTCTCAACTCAAAGCTATAATTTTGCTTTGCTTAACCGCCCGGCCTCCTCGCGGATTCTGACCAGAAACTGGCGCACAGAGCTGGGATCGAACCCGCGCCTCTCTGCGCCAATCTTGGTACTCTGAACTGTAACCACTGGACCGCCCTGCTCTAAGGGCTGTCTAAGTCAAAGCAAATTCAAGTAGAAATTACGCGCAACTTTAACCTTAAAAGTTTTATAAACATAAATTTTAGCATAAAATACTAATAATAGGTAGATAGTCATAGAATAAAAATTAACTGAAATTATTTTAATTAAGCCAGTATTTCTCAGTGAGTGTCTCACTGTAGCTGCTAATTTAAGTGTGTGGCATAGAGTGACAAGAAATGTTGCGGCCACGGACAGCACTAAACAAAAAATATTAATGTTTTATTAATAAAATTATATAAAAATATCCCACGGTCACGGTAAGCTAGTGCACTACCAACACCAGACTGGCGCAGCGTCGGCAACCAGTCGAGTCTGCGACAAATCTGCGGCAATTCCAGCATAAGATTAGATTCCAGCAATCCACGGTCCTGGCTTTCTTTGATCCCACCATGCGATTTAGCTTCCACTACGCGCATCTTCGCCATCGCGTGCAAAAAGTTTATTTTCAATATGGTTTAATGTAGCGTGTAATGCGCGCCATCCAAGTGCAGTTCACGTACCGTCAACGTGCACGTGCAGTTCCCACGTATCCGGCAGTCACTTGGCGCTGCACAGTATAGACGTTTCGTACCGATCGCATTTTGCATACCATTTAGGGGCTCTCGAGGCTCGCTACAATTGGCTTAAAGGTAGACCGGGCGTGTATATGTGGGTTGATTACACCCGTTGAACCGCGGTGGGTTCGTTGTTCTTGAATTAAATAGTAGTTACGTTTACTGCGTTGTTCCTGAATTAAGTAGAGTTATGTTTACTGTCGTTTATGCACAAGCGGCGTCAAGCGTGCAGGCCGTTGAATGCAGGCGGGGGAAGAACTGACCTGCGTTGAGAGTGCAGGCCGTTGAGTGCAGGCGGGGGAAGAACTGACCTGCGTTGAGAGTGCAGGCCGTTGAATGCAGGCGGAGGAAGAACTGACCTGCGTTGAGAGTGCAGGCCGTTGAATGCAGGCGGAGGAAGTACTGACCTGCGTTGAGAGTGCAGGCCGTTGAATGCAGGCGGGGGAAGGACACCGAGCAGGTCGACGGGGGATGAGCTGGGGTTGCTGATGAAGAGCACAACAATCACCACAGCCACGGCCACCACACTCACCACGGCCTTCGCTGCTCTCCGGCACTGCAATCACAGCAGTGGTGGTGAGGGTGATTGCAGGTGCACGGTGGGGTTGAACATGTGAAACGAACACCACGCGGGGAGTGGTTGCGTTAGTTATGATAGTGACATGCTTAGTGATTATTTTGAAGGTCTAATTTTAATTTTATAGTTGATGTTAAAGGCTTAGGTAGTGGTTCAACTGTACCAAATTAAGGCTTCGGTAGTAGTATAGGTATAGATAATGGTGAAGTCATAGGAACTGGTATATTTATGGGTGATTGAATAAGTGTAGGTAATGATTTCAGTGATGGAATAAGTGTAGGTAATGATATAGGTACGGGTAATGGTATAAATAATTTAATACAGGTTTTATCGAAGACCAGAGCGTATTTCTATTTAAAAATGTTCTTCTTATTTTTCTCAATTCGATGAATACTCGAACGGATGCTCGAACTTTCTCGTCCTACCAAAAGCCTGATGTCCCGATTTGAGAAAAACAACAAGAAAATTGTTAACAAGAAATATTCTCTGGTCTTCAACGAACTTCTATTGCAGAACAGCTCCTGCCCAACTGTACCAGTATAAGTAATTGTACACCTATATATAATTGTACACCTATTGTACACCTGGTCATATATAAGTATAGGTGATGCTGTACAATAAGCGACCAGTTCTCATGAGTTACAATATATTCGAGTGCTGTGTAGATATCACCATTCTTGAATTTTACTTTATGTCTACACGCCTGACGGCTTTTTTTAATGATCCGCAACGGATTTATAACAGAAGTTAGCTCTTTTTATAAATTGAAAAATGTATTAACTGACTTGATTATGTTAATTCAATTTCAGCATTCATTAAACCTCAATTTTTTTAAACAATTTCAGAAAATATTAGCATACGTAGCAATGTTTTCACGCGCTACAAGGATGACAGTTTTCGTGCATGAACCACGTCTAAACAACGTTGATTAAGAGTTGATTTTGCGTAGAATCAACGTTGATTAAACGTTAAATCAATGTCAGATTTCTGTTTGGTTTCATCTTTTGACTTTGCATAAAAGTAGTGAGCGGATGACATCAACGGTCGCTGACAATTAGCATATAGACTGGCAAGTGACAGGAGCTTACGGCCCAAAATGAAGCGCTACGAGCGAAGATAATTTGTCAACCTGCGCCAAATTTCGGAAAAATAATGACGTTTGTTTCACTGAAAAAACGACGTTTGCTACACTGAAATAATGACATTTGCTCCACTGAAATGACCTTTGCTACACTGAAATGACGTTTGCTACACTGAAATGACGTTTGTACAGTTTGCTACACTGGAATAATGACGTTTGCTACACTGGAATAATGACGTTTGCTACACTGAAATAATGACGTTTGCTACACTGAAATAATGACGTTTGCTACACTGAAATAATGACGTTTGCTACACTGAAATAATGACGTTCACTAAATTGAAATAATGACGTTTGTTAGAATGAAATAATGGACGAATCCCTCACCTGATACCGGAGTATCACTGACATCATCTGCACGGCATCTGCAAGAGGAGAAATATTATCTATAATTTATTTTATTATGAAGGTTATTAATAGATCAGACATCGTATGTTTCGCTAGCATATTAGGAGTTGGTAAAATCCCTAGTGGTGGATGAGCAAAGTTGATAGATGTTGTTGAATTGTGATTAGCTCTGAGCTAGTTGATAGAAAAGCTATAATGATTGATGTTCCGAATGGATGATTTGTCATTATCAATTTGATAAATTAGCCGTGACAAATTGCCGCCCTCACACCACAAGTATAGCAGGACCGCGTCACGCCATCAGTAAACAAAGCCATGATCGAAGCTTACCGATCTGTCTAATTCTGAGTTATGTGAGGTCAATTATTATGAGGGAGGTCGCCACTCACGAATGAGGTCACCACTCACGAATGAGGTCACCACTCACGAGCCAGGCCACCACTCACGAGCCAGGCCACCACTCACGAGTGAGGTCATCACTCACGAGTGAGGTCACCATTCACGAGAGAGGTCACAACTCACGAGCCAGACCACCACAACTAATTATATTTTCTCACATTTGAGATTCTGCATTTTCGAATTTATTTATTCTCATACTAACTGGAACTTCGGAAAATTTCATATATTATTTTATTCATCATCATTTTAAGAAAGCCGATGAATTTTCGATAAGGTACAGACTCTAACAACACATCCAGAAAATATTGTTGTTAAAATTCGAGCTCAGGACAAGGATGGTAATTCTTTGATTGATTTCAGCGCAGAGCTCGTATTTAATTTAATGAAGATTATGTAATTAAGTGAAGACGATTATATAATTAAGCAGAGCAGATTCTTAAAGCAGCACGGGTGCCATTATTTCTTGCCGTGACGTCTAGAGGATCATTTTTAAAGGTGATAAATCGGTAGAAACTTCACCATACAGCACATGCGATGAATTTATGCAGGTTATGATGCAGATTTATGGTTACATGGAGGTCATTTCATCAAGGTATTTATTGATTCAGATTATGCAAAAATTAGCTCAAGTAAGCATGGATTGTCACTACTGGCTAAACAGTGGAGAACAGAACGCAATTTTTGCATCAGTACCATAGCAAGCATAGGACATTTTTATCATCCAATAATACAAAAAAAAAACATAAATTACAATATATGATAAAATACAAGATAACACTACAATAAGATAGAAACGAAGCCAAAATAACAGGTTTTTCTGAAAAATTTTTGCATCCTCCATTTACACGTGTCATGTTGACGAGAAAATGTTTTCACTCGAATTAAAATCAACATCGCCGATTGACGATGGATTTGAACTCGTAAGTCTCGTTCGTAGCTGAAAAACATTTAAAATAAACCGAATAATATTGGTACGCACGACATTCATATTTATCAAATGGGAACAATTTTCGAGAATTGATCAAAATTTACACGAATGATCTATCACAATTTAAAAATATGCAGTAAAAAAACTTTTTAAATACAACACTTTTAAAAAATCCAGTGTCTCCGATGTTACACATGTACAATGAATTTCTAATTTTATTTTCAAATATTAAAAAAATTCATTTAAAATTTTTGTTAATGTATGAAATTTTTTTAAATTTTTCAAAATTATTTATTCTGTCAATTGATTCGTGCATTGTCTCCAATTTTACGAAAGTGTGCAAAATTTCAGATTGATTGGAAAGGTAGAAGTGTATTAAATATCAATAACAAGATTTGTAGCAGACAGACAAGAAGTGAAGTTAAAGAGAAGTGTTGTAAAAATAAAATCCATTGTGAATGCAAGTATAGTTTTTTCTTTCTCGTCGACATAAACGTTAAAAACGCTGCTGATTTTGTAGACAAGCTCTTCAATCTTGCAGCGAATACTCCCCGAATAGTCAGCGGGACTAAAAAAAAATTTCGCCGACTTCACTCAAAAATACTGCAAATTTTTCAGCGTCAATTTACGCAATCGAGCGTCCCTGAGCTACGACGCCGCGTCAAAACTGAAAAATATTCAAATCAAGCCAAGACCGGCAGCAAGTCGGCGCAGAATAAATATAACTTCGTACAATTTCGAGGAATTTTCGTCGCCTGTGGCTCGGATCTTGACACTGAAGGCTGTGTCCGCTGAATCGAACTCCAGGCATTTATCGAAAGAAAAACTTAACAACTAAAATAATTCAATAGGTACCTTATATATTCATATGATTATTTCAAATTTTATTATAGTGGTGTCAGCGTTGAAAAGGCTATTTATTTTGGCCTGTCGGCCATTCTTAACCAACTGGCCACTTTACTGATTTCGTACAAAATTATTAAAATTCACAGTGATTTACTCAACACGAATGTCCAATCCTGGTGAATTTAACTGCTTGGCCACCCTAAAGTTAAGAGATCGAAAACATAAGAGACCACGTCTTTTTCTGCCAAAATGGAATCGAAAAAGTAATGAAAACAAGCTTTTACAAGTTTAGAATAAGATTACACCTGCCCTAGAGGGTACAACACTAACGCAAAGTTCGTGTGGTTTATGAGATTCGTTGACGATCGTTATGCAGGAGGAAGGCACGCTATTGACCCCCACTTAACGTCACGCTATTGACCCCCATTTAATGTCACGCTATTCACCCCCACTTAATGTCACGCTATTTACCCCCACTTAATGTCACGCTATTTACCCCCACTTAATGTCACGATATTAACGCCCCACTTAATGTCACACTATTCACCTCCACTTAATGTCACATCACACTATTAACCCCCACTTAATGTCACGATATTAACCTCCACTTAATGTCACACTATTAACCCCCACTTAATGTCACACTATTAACCCCCACTTTATGTCACACTATTGACCCCCACTTAACGTCACGCTATATTGCCCCCCACTTAATTTCACGCTAAAGACACGCTACGTAAACATAAGAGTGAAGTGTGCACATAGTTACACTGTGCCATGCGTGCTATAACGCTCATTACGGCCATCATTATGCAGAGAGAATAAGTATGTCGAGAATCAACTTAACGAACGCGGTCGATGGAAGGCCAGAGATATACAAGGCGTAGAATTGTGCGGCGACTGTAAGACGTTGTCTTCTGCAGGTATAAAAAGTTAAAAACGTACGAAATATAAATACAGATAATCTTTGGGTGGCATTATGAAATATGTTGAAATGATTGAGTTTTGATAAGTATGAGTTAGGAAAGTGCTTATATACTATCGTCACACAGACAGTAAACATGTGTAGGCGCATTGTAAAATTCAAAAGAAAGAAAAAACTGGAAGATTTTTCTTGATTTCATTTGAATTTTTAAAGGGTTGACCTTCACTTCAGCATTTAGCCTTCTAATGCATGCATCTTTGATTTGCATTTACTAGACTCATTTGGTCGTGTTTCTAGGATAGAGATAGCAAGCGATAATAGAAAAGATACGAAAAAATATCAGCTGATAAATTTCGCTGTCTTTATTAGTATAATAAACTTACGAAAAACGGATTCACGATCACGACCTCGAGCAGAGTGAGATTACATGAATCCATCACACAACTACCATCAAGCCTTCAATAATAATAGCCAGGCATGGAACATGTGCCACGATGATAAGGTGCTTGAGAACGTTAAGCTAACGATCACCTTAACATAGATCACTGAGAGTGTATTATCAGTGTTGCTTTTCTTAATGTTTAAGCGTGCAACAAGTTGTTCCAGCCTGAGCAGACCATGAGGGCGTATATTAGACCATGCGTCATGACGCATTATGAAGGCGTATATTAGACCATGCGTCATGACGCATTATGAAGGCGTATATTAGACCATGCGTCATGACGCATTATGAAGGCGTATGCTATACGATGCGTCATAAAGTGGTGCATAATTCAGCGATATACATTACGTAGGACGAGGCCTCTCAATTCCGCACGCATTATTCATCGAAATGAAATACGCAGGAGACTGCCGGCATCCTTGAAGGATCTAGTGACGACCCTAGGATCTGCGGTCGTCACAAGATCCTTCAGAGATGCAGATCACCGAAAAATAAATCGTAAAATGCAGTACAGTCAGCAGGCATATATGATTAAACACAAATGAGGGAGTATAAACTCAGGACAATGAATGGTTCTATGGTTCATATAGTGACACATTTTCTCACCCACAGCGTGAGTAACGAGCAAACGTAGCACAAACATGTTATTTTGTCTGATCAAACTGGGTCAAGATGACCCACGCAAGAACGAAAAATAATTTCACAATTTGGAGAGAGATTTAATTATTGATTTGAAATAGACAACTAAATTTTCAAAATCGCGCTTATTTCGAGCAATTTAACTCTCTTGATAAAAGACCCTGAGAGCGAAATGCACGCGAGCAAATAACAGTTAGCAGCGAATAATTGTAACTACAATAATAAGTTTATACACACGGAATCTAATATAAAAGATATTAAACAAAACATTGTTGAAAAAATGTCAATCAAGCACATTATTGAGACAATTCATGAACACAATATTCTAAATAAAGCAATGTTGAAAGAAAGTAAATCAAGCACAAAGTTGGGACCATACATGAATACCAAGATGTTTTTAGTAAGACATATCCGGTGTACCTTGTATACTTGATTAAATAAAATGCCGGTAGCTGATCGCCATGGTCACAATAGTTACAAGACGGGCGACATACCGCGTTCATTATCAATCATGTACAAAATCGACGTCTTTTGTCAGCAAAAATAACATGGCGCTCCAAATTGATGAATAACCTCAACCCCGCATCTATTATATGTCAAAACCATGACTGTAAACCCACTATTGATCCAGCGCTACTTCCACAAGCGGGTTATGAGCACAAGGATGAAGTGTTCACCTGACATGAGAATAACGCGTCACATATAGGAGCCTTGGCACCACACAACGTGTCATCATAACACCTTCTCGCAGGGTTATTATATTACTCATACAATATAGTCAACACTAACGCTTCTGCAGGCGGCTCCTGCGTCGACATAACCAGTGAACCTGTTACTT